TCTCCTTTCTCTCTCCTCCCTCCTCTCTCCCTTCTCTTCTTTCTCTCCTCTTCCCCCCCTCTCTTTTCTCTCCTTTCTCCCTGTCTTCCTCCTCCTCCTCTTTCTCTACTGTGCCATGTTTCCTGTAGGTACCCAAGGTCACATTGGTAAACAATAATGATAACAAAAACTACAGCTAAGGTGGATGGAATTAATGCTTTAAGGTTTTCAAAGGTTTTACATGCGTTCATTATATTGGAAGTGATGGGGCTGAGATTTGAATGTAGGTCTTCCGCATCCAGTATGTGTTCGCACGCTGCACCACCCTACCCACCCTGGCCTCGCCCCAGGCTATACAGGTGGTACTTTCCCCCAAATGGTGAGTGCCAGAAAGAATTCCAATGTGACAATGAAATGTTTGAGTTCATTGTAGACAGTAAAGTTCCCCCCAAAAAATTAAATAAAAAAATTTTCATTCTGGAGAATTGGTACCAAGGAAGAGAGAGTCCAATTGGAAACATTAACATTTTACTGTGTATCATTAAGCATTCTCAGAGTTTCTTTGTCCTTTCTCCCTCCCACAGACATTTTTTTTAATATAAAAATAAATTGAGCCAACTCAGACTCATTTGCATTCCTGATTTGGCTAATGATGCTAAATAGCTGTTCCAGGGAATGATTCTCAGGCGGGACATGCTAATGGCATAGGTGTGTGATTAGGTGGACGCTTCCGGGCCGAGGCCCACTCTCTGGAGGCATCAGGAGTCCCGCAGCCTCCTAACACATGACTGTGCCTGGAGGAGGGGCTTGGTCAATGTTTGGTCTCATCTGAGTTTAGCAGGAGGTCTGGCCTGTTTAGACTTCTGAGTGCACATGGAAGGGACTGCTATGGGCTAATCCTCCAGCTGTGGGTCAGGAAGAGTGCTTCCTACCGCCACTGTCTCCTGGCTGTGGTACCAACAAGACCCTCCATCTCGTACCTCTGGGCATTTTCTGTGGCTGTCCCCATGCCTGGAATCTCTCCCTCCTCCGCTCTGACCACTGAGCTCCTTGGCTTCCTTCAGGTCCCAGCTAAACCCCCCCTTTTGCAGGGAGCCTTCCCCAGCACCTCTTCATCCCAGTGCCCACCGTCTTTAATTATTGCCTGTTTATCCGGTTTATTACTCACTTTGTATCTAATTGTTTGCTTGTTGTCTTCCTCATTTGATTGTAAGCAGTAGAGGGCAGGGCCTGTCTTCTCTTTGTATCCCCAGCACTTAGCACAGTGCCTGGCACATAGTAGGCATTTAATAAAATTCAGTTGGCTAGCTGATTGTTGTGATTTCCTCTGGGTAGCCCTGCGGCACCCCACGAAGCTGGGGGCTTTCTGCTGTGCCCACACTTTCCAGCGTCTGGGTTCTCTATGCCCGTCCTTTCTTTGGAGACTGCTCACTGGTATACCACTAACTTAAAGAGAATCACGATCCTGTATTCAATTAGTGTCTTGAAATGTTTAACTTGTGCTTAGACTTGGATAAAAATGGTGCCCTTAGGGCCATATTGGAAATTTAACAGCCTAAGAACTTCTTAATGAATGCATCCATAAATTAGATTTTATCCAGCAGACGCATGATAGAACTTGCTCGTTCCTTGCGCGTCCCAGTCATCCTGGGTAAACACTGCATTTTCTTTGAAAGGAGGTTAATGCCCACAGTGGGTCCCTACAAAGTGACAGCATGGATGGTGGCCTTGCTCAGGAGAGAGAGAGAGCTGCATTTGAAGGCAGAAAGACCTGGGTTCTAATTCTGCTTCAGGCACTGGCAAAGAATGTCTCAAACACCCAGGTTCCTCCTTTGGAAATGGTGATGACAGTGGCCCTTCCTTCCCCAAGGTTGGGCAAGATCTAGTGGGACAGTGTCTATAAAGTAGTTTTCACACCTTGAACGCTGAACCATGTCATCCATTAGGCTTCTTCTTACTATGAAATGCTCTCAGACTTTAGAATCAACTGATGGTTTTACATCGACCAGAGAAAACAGTTTGGATATGTTCAACTTTGATCCTATTTAAGAAATTAATTACTCACTTATACTTAAAATTGTAATGTCTGAAATGAATTGTCATGTTGTCAACCACGAGTTACTTGTGACATTTACCGGGAGGGTTTTTCGTCCTGGAAAGTAAGTGGAGTCACCAGTTCAGACCGTTGTTTACTGTGGGGATGTCAACACCTCTGTGAGGGCTGCCGCCTTCTCGGGAATGATGAGATGGGGCTCAGGGTGTCATTCACTCGAACAAGAAAAGTGATGGTAGATTAGACTAGGTTAAACAAGGGTTCATTTCTTCCACTAACTTCCAAAGAAATCGCTTCCTCTCCCTCCCTCCCTCTTTCTCTCCCTTCCTTGCTTTCTCCCTCTTTTCCCTCTGTCTTTTCTTTCTTTCCTCCCTCTCCCTTCCTTTCTCCTTCTCTCTTTTCTTTCCCCTTTCCCCCTCCCTTCTTCTCTCCCTTTCCCCCTCCATTCTTCTCTCCCTCCTCTCCCTTTTTCTCTCTCTCCCCCTCCCTCCCTTTCTTTCCCTTCCTCCCTCTTTCTTCCCCCAATCTCTCTCCCTCTCTCTCTCCCTCTCCCCCCTCCCCTTCCCCCCTCCCCCTCCCTCTCCTTCCTCTCACCTGTCTCTCTCCATTTTTTCTTTGGTGTATTCTGCTGGCTGAGCATCAGCTTTCCCTATTGGTGACTCCTTGCCCAGGTGGAGGGATGCACTGAGTTGTATGGTTTTGAGCCCAACTTAACCACGTTTGCCTTCTGTCTCTGTCTGTCTGTCTGTTGTCTTTCTCCCCAGTGGCTTTTCATGGCCTCCCCTTGAAAATCAAGAAGGAGCCCCACAGCCCATGCTCGGAGCTGGGCTCGGCCTGCAGTCAAGAGCAGCCCTTTAAATTCAGCTATGGAGAAAAGTGCCTCTACAATGTCAGGTAAGGCTTGGGATAAAGGGCTGGGGCCACCTCTGGAGACCCGAGAGGCTGAGCTGAGGGCAAAGTCAGCACAGAACCTTTGGGTATGAGGGGAGTGCATTGGGCAGGGCACTTAGGAGCCCCTCAGTGTACCCTCCAGCCCTTGTAGGCTGAAGGGAGAAAGCAGTCAGATTTACACACACACACACACACAAACACACAAACACATGCACACACGCACACACACTGCCTTAAAAAGTGGAGAACACCCTTTGCGTGGGAGGGTGGGGAGTACTTGACCTTTGATGATAGATCTCATGGGGCAGGGAGAGCAGCTCCCATCAGCAATGTGGAGCCACACATCAGAGGTCTGGGAGTCCTGCCCATCGCCCCTATTACAATGTAAAAGAAGCCTTGTTTCGTGAGCCCCTGTGCAGGCTGTTAGCTGGGGAGAAGTCAGGTGTTGCTGCTGGCCCTGAAACGGGTGGAGCAGAGGAAGGGAGATGATGCGTTTGAAGCCATTTTGAGGACGGTCTTTCCATCACATCCTCGGTGTCTCCTGTTCAGGCCGTGGGTTTCTTTTTAAATGAAGAACCAGAAGGTTGCTGTAGGATGGTGCAGTGGGAGGCGTGTCGGGCTTGGAGTCAGTAAGATCCAAGGGTCACAGGCTACCACCAGCTGGGCAAGTTGCTTGACTGCTGTTTGCCTCAGTTTCCTCATCTGTAAAATGGGGATCATGACAGCACCTGTCTCCCAGAGTGGTTTCAAGGATCAAATGACGGTCATTGTCCTTTGTCCTCTAAGAGGATGAAATGACATCACTGTGTTGGGGTCAAGGTTCAGTGTGCCGACTGGCCCATCCGAGCTCAGCAGGCTCTGCCATGGGTCAGGCACAAATCGTCACGTGAACGGTCGGGGTGAAGATGGCTCCAAATTTGTGCACCACGTGGGATCGAATGATAGGATGATGTTAAGTGCTTAGCGCCGTGCCTGACGCATAGTAGGTGCAACGTAAATGCTTTTTGTTGTTGGCTGGGTGTTTCAGCTGCTTCCGACTCTTTGTGACCCCATTTGGGGTTTTCTTGGCAAAGATAATGGAATGGTTTGCCATTTCCTTCTCCAACTCATTCATGAGGAAACTGAGGCAAACAAGAGTACATGACTTGCTCAGGGTCCTACTGCTAGGAAGTGTCTGAGGCCAGATTGGAGCTGAGGAGGGTGAGTCTTTTTGACTCCAGACCCCATGCTCTGTCTGCTCCTCCATCTACCTGCTCTATACATGTTAGTTATCATTATTAATCATTATTATTTGTAATCTACGAGAGGAGACAGATAGGTGCTCTCATTATATCCATTTTACAGATGAGGAAACTGAGGCTCAGGAAGGCTAAAGGATTTTCCTTGTGTCTGCCAGTTGGTCAGTGTTTGAGGCTGGATTTGGTAGTCTGTCCCAGTTTCCAAGTCCAGCGCTGTTACCACATCATCTCTTAGAGAAAAGAGGACAGGTTTTTGTAGAAAGAACCCTGGATTTGCAGTCAGAGAAGCTTGGTTCAAATCCACCTCCTTCCTCTTCTTTGGGCCATCACTCGATCTCTCTGAGCCTCAGTTTCCTCATCTGTAAGATAAAGGAGCTGGGCTCGTTGTCTTCTGAGATCCGTTACAGCTCTAAATCCGTGATGGTGCCGTCATGCCTGCCGGTGACCACCCGGTTGGTTTGAAGGGCGCCATCTTTGAAGTCTTGGCCCCTTGCAGGGCCTTTGCTCTCCTTCTGAGGAACATGAATCAAATGAGGAGGAGGCGTTAGGAAGAGGAGCTTCCTCAAACATGATCAATAATAACGATGATGACGATAGTAACAGCAGTTGCACAGTGCCTGGTGTGTTCCAGGCACTGCGCTAAGTGCGTCACAAATACTATCTTGTTTGATTTTCACAATAACCCTGCAAAGTAGGGGCCGTTATGATCCCCGTGATATAGTTGAGGAAACCGAGGCAAATAGACATTAAGTGACTTGCCCAAGGACATACAGCTGGTTGGTGTCTGGGGCCAGAATTGCTTTTAGGTCTTCCTGCTCCAGGCCCAGCCCTCTCTCCAGCTCTATCCTAGAGCTCACTGCATCTGAAGGTAACGATTTCCTTCTCACAGTAATTCTCCACCTCCAAAAAGATCTAAGAATTTCAGGTGTAGTCTGATTATTCTTATTGGTCTTCATGGTGCCCCATGTTTCCTGTCAAACATCATCTATTTGTTAGGCAGTGTGGTATAATAGGTAGAACAAAGCCTCGCTTTCTATCCCTCCATAGGCCCTTGCGAGCTCTGTCCTCAGCCTTAGTTTCCTCATCTGTAGAATGGGCTGCCTCGTAGGGCCGACACAAACCCAATGAGGTCATCTCTGTAGAGGGCCAGGCCAATGCCAGAGGATTACAGGAATGTGGCTTTGTGGCTGTTATTTCCTTGGACACGCTCAGTGATCTTGAAACCCTCTCAGTGGTTGGTGTGGATTGTCACGGGCTTGGCTCGGTGACGTGCAAGCTTAGACAGATTCCCGGGCTCTGAGAGGTGAGGTACAAGGCCATTGTTCGTGTCGGACCCAGGACCTGAACCCAGCTCTTCCTGACCCAAAGGCTGCCTCTCTCTCCACCTAGCCACCCTGCCTTTTATTAGTGGGAGAGGGTGAGTGTTAGGCTATGGATGCCTCTTCCATAGACACTTACGATGAGAATTGCTGTCATTCAGGAAATTAAGGACTGAAGCAGCATTGAGCCTGCCTAGGACCCAGGGCACAAAACCAGGGCCGACAGGAGGCTACAGGAGTGGTTTTTCCTTGAGCTTAGGTGATCAGGAGACACACTCTCACACACACACACACACACACACGCACACGCACACGCACACGCATGCACACACACACGTACCCACCCACACTAAGATAATATCAAATAATCTCTGGTCCATATTATCTATTGCACACAGTACCCCTCAAAGCCCTCAGCAGAATACGATACGTGGACATGACAGAGACAGTTTATTTATTCCCAAGTTCTGTTCTTGCTGCCGAGGAGGGTGGCGGGAGGGTGGGGGGGGGGGCCCGTCCCTGCGGTCCTGTGGCTCGGCCTCAGAGTCAGGAAGCTGGCTTTGCCTCTCCCTGGGAAGCGTTTCCTTTCTCGATGCAGCTAAGCCAAGTCTCGCTCTTTCTTGTTTCCTTCTAGTGCCTATGATCAGAAACCACAAGTGGGAATGAGGCCCTCCAACCCCCCAACGCCGTCCAGCACTCCGGTGTCTCCCCTGCATCATGCTTCCCCGAATGCCGCTCACACCCCAAAGCCCGACCGGGCCTTCCCTGCTCATCTCCCGCCATCCCAACCCATCCCGGACAACAGCTACCCGATGGACCACAGGTACCTGGCCTGGAGGCTTCACACTCCAGCGTTTTTGTATTCGTAGCCCTGTCTCATGGCTTGGGCGGGTGGGAGGCGGGGAGAGGAGGAGGGGAGGGCTTCCTGGCCCAGAGCTCCTGATGCCACGTGCTGGCCAGTGAGATGACTTGTTGGCTGTAGGTGGGTGAGCAAGGTGACCTTGTTGCACCGTAGTCAGATTTCTTGTGAAGGAATTACTTCCAGTTCTAGTAAATTAACTTATTTTCCTTTTCTTTCTTTTCTTTTCTTTTTTTTTAGCACTTACATTCTATGTATATACAAAATTTTCAAGTGAAAAGTATTTTTGAAAGTGGGTTTTTCCCTGCTCTAAACTTGAATGACTTCATCTATACTTTAGATTACCTTACTGAACTGTTTAATGTGTCTCTACACCTCTCTTCATCTACGCCTGAGGGTATACAGGCAGCATTAGGTCTGTATCTGCATTTCAGCACATCACAGAGCTGAAATTATATCCCATGAACGTGCATCCACACATCTCTCAGCTTAGGGGATGGCTGGAGGTTCGCATAGCGAGTAAAGGGAGAATTGGAATACAGGGCTCCCTTCTGCACAGAAACCCATCTCCCACCTCCAGGCCTTTGCCCGGGCAGTCCTCTGTTCCTGGCATGCACTCTCTCCTCACCTCTGCCTCTTAGCTTCCCTGACTTCCTCTGAGACTCAGTTCAGACTCCCTGTTCTTCAGGAGAGCTTTCCTGATGTGCCCTCACACCCTCCAGTGTTAGTCTTGGCCCCTCTGCAGTCACCCTCAGTCCCCTCTGCATAGGTCTTGTCTGTACGAAGTTGCTGGAATGTTGTCTCTGGCCTTAGAATGTAAGCTCCTGGAGGCCAGGAGGCCTTCCTTTATCTCCCTGGCCCTTGGCCCAGGGTCTGGCACATAATCTGCCCCTAACTGGGGCTTACTGATTGCTCGCTTGCTTAATTCCTTCCTCCAAGCCCAGCCCCAGTGCCATCCACTCCATTCAATTCAGTAATATTATTAAGCTCTCCCTATGTGCCAGGCACTGTGCCAGCCCTGCCCTCGAGAAGCTTATGATCTCTCCAGTACATCATGGTGGACACGAATAGCGATACAGAAATGAGTGGTGTCCCTGTGGTCTCTGCCGTCCATCTTGTCTCTCGGTGGTCGCTGCGCCCTGACTCTGCCCTCTTTGTTTCTCCCACCAATGGACAGAGCAAGCCCGGGACAGCTTGGCCAGAATCTCCAGGCAAGAAATGCCTCAGCCTTTAGTCAGCCCAGCCCCACGCTCAGCTTCTGCGAACTGCTGCCCGCCTCCCGGCCGGCCCATCCCACAAGGGGTTCTAGCTTGGTTAGAGAGGTCAGGCTTTGGGAATCAGAAAGACCTGAATTCAGTTCTGCTTGAGACACTTCCCAGACAAGAACGTGCCCTGGAGCTAGTCAGATGACCTGGGTTCAAATCTCAGCTCCTCCCAGTGTAACCGTTGTGACCCCGGACAAGTTACTTCATCTCTGTCTGCCTCAGTTTCCTTTTCTGAAAAATGGGGACAACAATAACACCTACTTCTCAGGGTTGTTGTGAGGACCAAATGAGGCAACATATATCAAGTGAACCGTTGCTAGCATCATCATCCTCCTGGTTTTTACACTGGATTCTCGTCGGGGACCCTGAGTTCTACGGCTGAAAGGACACTCAGAGGTCATCTGTCTTCACTTCGTAGAGGAGTACACTGGGGCCCAGAGAGGGTTGGTGACTTGCCTTGGGTCCTACAGGAAGCCCAGGGATTGTAATCCAGGGCCAGTGACTCCATTTCCAGGCGAGGCCCCCTGCCTTCTCCCCTAGATGTTGACGCCAGCTCTCTGAGCCTTGTAATTCCTTCGTACCTGGATAATTTCTATTATCCCGGTGTCGTTTCCTGTCTTTGTTGCCTTGGACAAGTCCCTTCCCTCTTTCTCCATCTCTAAAATGAGCACAATGATAGTCGCCTTAACCACTCCTGAGACTGTTATAAGCCGTAAAATGTAATGGAAAGACGAGCGCTGAGTGAGCCCTGCACCACAGGAGAACGAACCTCTTTTATTATACGGTTTGCTGAGCAGGCTTCTAGTTAATATTTAAGCTACCTTAGTGACGGCCTCTTTGCCAAGTTCATTTTAGTATTTCTACTTGAAATTGAGTATTTGAGACTGGGAACAGCCGTCCCGGAACCACCAGGGTAGGCGCGGGGTCCTTTCCTTTGGCCCCCTCTCTGCGTGTGGAGGCCGGCACCAGCTGCCAAACTCTAAGGCCGGATGTCTACTTGGAGGAGCTCTTGGGAGAGCCAGGGCCAGAGAGCGACAGCCTCTTGGTTGCAAATGGCAAAGATGCTCTGGAAGCAGCCCTTCTCCTAGGAGCTCTGTCCCCAAGCAGGCACCCCACCCAGCTCTGGGAATGCGCAGTGGCCTGCCAGCCAGCACCCTGCCTCCTTTCCTTGGGCCAACACCCTGGCACATTTCCCCAGCCCGGTGGTGCTGCCCAGAGCTGGAGCCCTGCCTGGCCTGCTTTGTACTCCCCCAGCTGGCACAAGGATCCGAGGAACTCAGGAGAGTCTTGTTCAAGGAGCTTGAGGGCCTGTGTCCTTTTCTGACACATTTGTGGCTCTGGAGAAAGCATCCCTGAGAGCCCAAAGCTTCATCGGTACCAGGGTGGAGCAATGGACCAACCTGGATCAGCTCTTCTTATAGAACACAAACTCTGCTCAGTAAAAATCGTTCCTCACAACCAGGACTATTCCCTCCCTCCGAGGCTTCTCCACTGAACTAGGGTCCTCCTTTAACTATCGCAATTCTCTCACTGTCTCCTTGACAGTTCTTTACAATTCCATCATCTGTTGGGGGCCAGTGAAAGAAAGATCGGGGAAGTTCAGAGTGTGTCATTGAGCCCTGCTGTGGGGAGCACCATGGAACCCCTCCACTTGTTTTGCTCAGTGTAGGTCGGTTTGAAAGGCCTCTTCTGGCAGGGCACTCAGTGACAAGGGGAGTTCCCTTCCAAACACGAATTCTCTAGCCTGCTCCTTCCTTGGTTTTCCTCAGATTTCCATTTGACTCATTGGGGTGGCCGTGCTAGTTTCTGAAATAAATAGTCTCAATTGTGTTTCAGTAAAGGTTTATTTAATTCAAATATTGGGCCTGTTTTTTACTGTTTGATACTATTTCCAAACACTTGTCAGTTATTTTTAAATCAGCATTTATTAAGCACCCAGCGTATTCCAGGTACTGTCATGGAATACAAAGCAGTCCATACTTGTAAGAGGCTTACCTTTAAATTTAATTTATTTTTTCCAGATGAATAAAAATTTGTTTTCTCTCCTTTTCACCTTTCCCCACCATCGAGGGGAAAACAAAACAAAATTAGAACAAAACCTTTGTAGCAAATATGAGTAAAGTCAAGCAAACAAATTCCTGCAGGGGCTGTTTCCAAAAACAGAGCCGTCTCAGTGCACCCCAAGGCCTTCTCCTCTTGGTCAGCATGGTTTGGGGAACTTACTTCCTTCATCAGCGGTCTCTCAAAGGCCATTGGTTTATACTTCAAGATCCCTCCTGACCTTTCCACTTCTCATTGCTAGTGTTTTCGATTCAAGTCAGTGAACCTTTATTAAAAACCTACTATGTGTCAGCCACTGTGTTAGGTGGTAGGGTTATAAAGACTAAAATGAAATGAAACCGGCCCTGCCTTCTGGGAGCATTGTCTCTGCCACGGGAAATAGCCCCAGCACTGACAAGGAAATACACCAGATAGAGGAAGCGAGTGGTGAGGCTGGCCAGAGTCAGGAAGGAGGCATATCCTGTCAGAGCGCACTTGAGTCGAGCCTGGGCTAGGCCCAGGAATGCCAAGGAGCGGAGGTGAGGAGGGCAAGCCTTCCCGGCAGGGGACTCCACCTGCACAACCTTTCCACGTGGAGGTGGGAAGCAGAATGCCGTGTATGGTTATTTTGAATTTACTTTGTACATACTTTTTTCTCCATGCATGCTGTTTCTCCGGGTTAAATGGAAGCTCTGAGAGGGGCTTTCACATCCCCAGCGTCTAGTACGTCGCCTGGCCCCCATAGGTGCTTAATAAAGTGAATGGACTTGAATCTGTTCATTGGTCAGTTTCCCTGACTTGGTTACTTCCCGCCTCTCTTTTGGCGAGAGGCACGATGTTCATGGGATGATCCAAGTCTCCCAGCACCATCTTGCCAAATGCATTCCTGACTTTAATGTCCAGTGGTCTCAGTGTCCTCTGCCTTTGCTCTAGATTTCGACGCCAGCTTTCTGAGCCTTGTAATTCCTTTCCACCTTTGCCTACGATGCCGAGGGAAGGACGTCCAATGTATCAACGCCAGATGTCTGAGCCAAACATCCCCTTCCCGCCCCAAGGTTTTAAGCAGGAGTACCACGATCCGGTTTATGAACACACCACCCTGGTGGGCGGTGCGGCCAACCCCAGCTTCCCCCCACCTCTGATGATTAAACAGGAGCCTAGAGACTTTGCCTACGACTCAGGTAAGCTGCTCTTTTTACCTTGATGGCCCGTGTATGACCATCACTTGAATGAAGGCCATTGGTCCTGGCCTCACTTGGAGTACTGTGTTTTTCCTATGTGTATAGATGGTATGTAAAGTGTTCCTCCCGGTTTTGCACTTTGTAGACGGTGGGATTGTAGAATCACTAGGAACTCTCAAGATCGGCCAGTCTAATACTTTCTTTATACATTTGAACAAATTGAGGCCCAGAGATGTGAGAGCCCAAGGTCATAGAAGCAGTAGATGGTGGCAGCGGGATTCAAATCTGGGTCCCTCACGCCCAATCTCTTGGTCTCTGCAGTGTCCCTCACTGTCTCTCACACTTCAGGAGACCCATGGCTTTATCACTGTGGGATATTCCCTCCACCAATGCAGACTGTAACCCTTCAACCCCTTGGTGCAAAATGGCTCCCAATTCTTCTATTGATGGCCAGTTCCGCTAATTGCCCTCCTGGAATATAGCTCAGCAGGTCGTCCAATGAGAAACACTCCGGGGGTCAGTGGGTCCTCTTCCAGCTTGGTGACACCGTCCAAAATGCACTGGCAGAGAACTGAGAGTCCCCTCTTGGCCATGCTGAGGTATTGGAGCAGTACCTGGGGGTCAGAGGGTGCTGGACTTGAAGCCAGAACCCATCAGTGAGTATGACCAGCTCCATACGCAAAGTGACCTTGAGTAAGTCATATCCACTTTGAAAGCCTCACTTAAAATTGTAAAATGGAGATGGTGGTACTTGGCGTGCACTGATGTGACAAGGATGGAAGAATAATCCTAAAGGGGGATTCAGAGGGCACTTTCTATTATGCATGGTTGTTTTGTGTGCTTCTCCTGTCTTCCCAGTGAAATGGCTTAGTGTGGTATGCAGCCCGGGGGCTCTTGGGAGTGTTCTAGACGTCTTTCTCAGGGTTCTTGAGTGTGTCCTTGATGAGTGAAGGTTGTGTTCTCTCTTGATGCTTGAAATAGTGTCTGGAAATGAAAGAAAATAATCCTTGCCAATGCCAAAAAAAATCTACCTTTAGAGATGGTGAAGAATCATGTCATTGATGAGAGTGTATCTACATGTGCATGTGCACATATGTACATGTACACACATACATTCCTATCACCTGGGTGCGTGTGTTACATGTGTATAGCATGTCTTCGAGGTTCTGGCCCCAAAGCACACTAGTGGGTCAGAGTACTCTTCTCCCTGGTTCTGCATTCGTGTGCCCTGCCCAGGCCACACGGTCTTGCATGTTGTTTAATCAGTATTGCTTGGTTGAAGGTTTGTTGACTTTTTGGGGTGCACTTGCTCCTGATCTCTCCCTCTTCGTGACCCTCTCTTCCTTCAGCTAAGCTTCAATGTCACGTCCTCTGGGAAGCCTTCGGGAATTCCCTCTCCTGGGCAGCGGTGTCCCTCACCTCCCGAGAGGCTCCTCGTTTGTCAGCCTCCCACAGAATATGAGCGCCCCGAAGGCATTGGCATCATTTGGTTGGGCCCTGTTTCACCAGTGCCTTCCATGGTGTGTTATTGCTCACAGTAGGTGCTTCACAGTGTCTGTTGAATTGCGTTGAATTGGATGGCGTGAGATTCACTGAGGAAGTCTCAGCGTCCTCATCTGTAAAAGGCAAGACTTAGACCAGATGGTCTCGGAAGGCATCTGGTCCTGTGCTGCAAGCCAGCTCCAGCTCAGCTTTTGTTCCCAAACTGACTGTCCACCTTTGGGGAATCACTTAACCCGGCTGGACCCCATCTCCAAAGTCAGTCAGCCCGTCAATCAGAAAGTGTCTGAGTGCTTATTACATCCCACGCTAGGTGCTGGGGATACAGGGAGTACCAGGAATGAAACAATCCTATCCACGATGGGATTGCATTCAAATGGCAAACTGTAGTTAGACACACACATATACATGCTCACGTATCAGTTAATAAATAAAGCTACACGAAGTCATTGAATAGATGATAGTTTGAAATGAATAATATTAGCAATAATCATGCCTGTCTGCTGTGCCTGCAGTGAGGGAGGCTGGCTAGTGTCAGGATGAGAGAGTTGTGCCTAAAAAAGCCAAACAGAGAAATCACAACTTCCTTTTCCCAGGATTATCTGATTTTACTATAGATTATATGACACAGAGAGAGAGAGAGGGAGAGGAACAGAAGCAATCCCTTGGGTTTCTTTTATAGGAAAGAAAAATAAAGTTGTATTAACTTTTGTATGTGGAATTTCTGGAGGATTTTCAGTTTACTATTTACTTGAATGCCTCCTGGATTTCTAGTTGCTCATGTCTTCATGGCATCATACATTGTGGGTTAGACTAAGAAGGGATCTCAGTGGTTACCTTACTTAACCAATATCCAAACCAGATTGGCCTCTACGAATCAATGTCCGTCTGACCTCTTCTTGCAGATGTCCCAGGAGAGGGAACGCCCTTACCCCTGGGAAGCTCATTCTGATTTCTCATTGTTCGACATATTGGACCTGTGAAGTCACTGGTCGGAACCAAAGAAACAGAGGCCTTAAATGCCTAAATGACCAGGAAAGAATAGCAGAGAATCATAGAATTCATGGCTGAAAGAGACCTCACAGGGCATCTAACCCAACCATTCATTTTACCTTTGAGGAGATTTGAAACCAGAGCTGAGCAGACTCTTGCTGCCCACAAGTTAATAAGAGACAAAGCCACCATTCTAATCCAGGTCCTCCAACTTCAAACCCAACACTCTCTCCCAGGCACCACACTCCTTCAGGTAGGGAAGTACTTTGGGAGGATTGCCTCCTTCTTGGTAAATGCAAGAACTCAACTTTGGGAGCCTGGCAATGCCAGAGCAGCTGGTAGTTTATGCTCTAAACCAGGCTTCTTCACCTTTATATATGTGTGTGTGTGTGTGTGTGTGTGTGTGTCTGTATTTGTGTGTGTTTGATGGACCCTCTTAGCAGTATGGTACAGCCCTCAGAATCATGTTTTTAAATGCATTAAAAATTAAATTTCAAAGGAAACCAATTATATTAAGTATAATTATCAAAACAACAACAGTAGTAATGATAATAAAACCAAGTTCATTGACCTCAGCTTAGGATCCCCTGATAATCTTTCTTCTGGATTATCTCTAGGGGCCATGACTACGCCCCTGGACACTCCCCTTGGCCCCTTGCAAGGAACGTTACACAGATTCTTTTTAGCACCATAATCATAAAATCATGTCTTTTGAAGGCAAAAAAAATTTTAAGTGTAGTAATGGTGCAGCCTAGGGTTATGAAAAATTAATCTGTGGGTATCGAAATGTATTTTACTGGCCACAGAATTGCTACATTTAAGTTGACACATCTGTATATGCCATAAAATTGCCGTCAACAACTGTGATCCGCAGATATTTTGTCTTGTTGCCATCTGTTCTCTAGAAATAATCATTTTTTTTTTCCATCCTGGCTGAGAGTACATTAACTAAGCCCTTAGGAAGCCCGATGGATTTATCTCAGAAGCACTGATTCCCTTTTTCACCTATTGATGCTGAGCAAATAGCATTGGAAAAATCTCATGCTTAGGGTATCAGGGCCATACCAAAAAGGCCTTATAAGCAAATTAGAAAGAGGATCTCATTATGTACATGGCCAGGTAGTGGCAGGAGCTCCCAAACCCTTTGAACCTCTGGTTCCAAGTCCACGAATGTCATGAAAACATAAGGAACTTGGGAAAAGGAAAAGAACCAAGTATGGTACAATATGGCCTTTGCTCTGTTTGGGAAGATGCCAGGTAACGCGATGAGTTGGCTTGGTTACTAAAAGAATGCAGTTTCAGCTGTGGAATATTTAAGATAGTGAGAAAAATGCAACGTTAGTGGCCAGCAAGCTTGGTCTCGATAAGAAAGGGAGAATCATGGTTTCCCAGTTATGGAAGCTGAGTCAGCAAGCAAGCAAACACTTATTAAGCACCAGCTGTGTGCCAGGCACTGTGCTAACTAACCACCGGAGAGACGAAGAAAGACAAAAGACAACTCCTGTCCTCAATGAGCTTACAGTCTAACAGGGGAGACAGTATACACACAACTCTGTGTGAACAGGATAGAGTGAGGGGAAACTGAGATAATCTCATCCAGACAGCGCTAAGACACCAAAGGACTAAGAAAGGCTTCGTGCAGAAGGTGGGTTTTTGGTGAGATGTGAAGAACGTCAGAAAAGTCACGAGAAAGAGATGAGAGGAATGGCCAACGCTGGGAGAGGGAGTGTTGTGTGTGAGGAGCCCGAGGAGGCTGGTGTTCCCGGGTCACAGAAAGAGATATTTTAGGACTGACTCCTGTGTTCCTGGGGTCTCCCTGTCCCTGCCTGACTGCTCATTCTCGGTCTCCTTTGCTGCATCATCATCCGTTCCCACCACTCCTCTTGGGGTGTATGCCAAGGCTCTGCTTCTGTCTTCTTCTGTCTCCGTATTTTCACCAGCTCCCGTGGATCTAGCGATCATCTCTGGGCTGACGAGTCTCAGCTCTTCACCTGTCCATCTGTCAGCTCTCTCCAGAGCTCCAGTGTCCTGTCATCAGACACCCGTTCAGCATTTCCAGCTGGGTGTCTCACAGGGACCTCAGACTATGTCCACACCAGAATTCGGGATCTTTTCCTTTCTTCCAAACTTCTCTCTCTCCATTGCGAGCACCCCTGCCCTCCCAGACCCCACGTGGCCGCCTCGGTGTCACCCCAGACTACTCCCTTTGCTGCGTCCTCTATCCAATAAGCTGTACTCTCTGGGGTCTATCTCCCGCCTCCCCAGCATCTCTCAGAGCTGGCCCTGTCTCTTGCATAAGCCCCAACCTTAATTCATGCCCTCATAACCTTTCACCTAAATCACTCTATCAGCCTCCAGTATTGTCTCTTTGCCTCCAGTGTCTACCCAGCTCCACTCCTGTCTCCATTTAAGTGTCAAAGGAATTTCCTTGGAGCATGGGCCTGATCATATGCTCCTCTGCTTCAGGAACACCTATGGCTCCCTACTGCCTTGGCTCAGATGCACAC